TTATTCCAACATTAATATATATTTGTATACACAAGTGTGCGTGCACAGTAATAGATGATCTGAGTGAACTTTAGTATGGGCCATTACTGAGATTGTGCTTTTGTTTTCTAGCCTGGCCATGTAAGACACTCTGTGGACTGTTTGATCCTGTACTACAGAGCTGCTGTGGCTTCCTCCCATGCCGTGCAGCTGACACTTTGGGTTTCATCCCTAACTGCATCTGGAGGAATTATATGGGTCTCTTCCTTCCTCTTGCGGATGTCAGGGGAGTCATGATTCAGAAATAGCAGTGTCAAGATCATGATGAGCAAAACTAGGGAGAGGGGGGGTTATATATGGAGATAGACCTTGGTTTCATCACTTTGTTATTTATTTCCCTAGCAGATCACTGAGACTAACAAGGTGAATTTGTATTCTGTTAAAGGGTTTGTTTCAAAGAAAATATTCTCTAGTCTAGGTTGTTCTTCACAGGCTCTCGATTTTCAACCTTCTTACTTATTCTCTTTCAAGGATGCTGCTATTTCACATCAATAACTGACACCTTTATTTCAGAGAACAAAATAGAATTACACTCCAGCACTGACAATATAATAAATCAGGAGGGATAAAATACATATTAGTGAAGTTCACATAGTTGGTTTGTCCCAGCTGACCTACAGATATAAAGGTATGATTAAAGTTTTCTTGGACTGCTTCTTCTCAATCTTGCCACAAGATTTAGCTCCAACTCAAAGATTTGACCTTTGCTGTTCCTCTTTGCTTACCTTGATTCTTTGGAATTATTGTTATTCCCTTGAAGCCTTTCTGCCTGTACAGAATTAACACTGTGTTGTGACAAAATATTATCTATTTGGGAGAAGAATGAAGCCATCTAGAATTCAATCAGGTTAGACAATGTCACAGTGCACATCCTGAATGAATCATTTCTACCTAGCTTTTTTAAATCAAAGAAATCTTGGCCATATAACCAGGAAGTGTCATGCTGGATAGCTGTCTACAATTAGACTTTAGGCTTATCAGTTGTTTTTTATGAATTACGGTTGAAAAGTATGCCTGCCAGAGCACTTAATCTTTCAGACGGGTAAAAGAAATAAAATCTCAAAGCCACAGGTTTATTTAGAGTATGAAAATATTTATTAACCTTCTTGCAAGTGTTTTTACTGAAGAAGTTCCTTCTGGTTCACCATATTGGTAAAAACAAGCATAAATAAAGAAAGCATGAAAAATGTGCACTCCTGAGAAAAACAATATGTGGTACTTATGTTTTCCCTACTGGGGATAAGATTACCAGATGAAGTAAACGCACATAGTTTTACTCAATTCAGTGGGGCTATCCAGATTCGTTGTAGCTGAGTGTATGACCCAAACCAGCTGTTTGGGAAGAAGCAGTTATTGAAAAGATGTATGTTTTTCACGATGTAATAATTGGGTGTTTGTAGCTTTTAATGCTGTTTCCATTATTTTCAATGCTACGTATAATTTTTTTTTTTTTAAATGTAGTTGTTAAGTTACCTATGTGTCTACTAGTTTCATCAATACTAAATCTATGTGTTCTCCTTGAAACTAAATCTGGTTAAGTTCCACACAATTTCCCCCTAGCCTTTCCATTTATATTATATACTAGAAGAATTTAAGCTAATGTACTACTGTCAAATTGAGATGCATTTGACAATGCACTTTTCCTCTGATGAGGGATGGGCTAATGTAGTCAGCAATTATTTTTTTTGTGTGACCTTTACAAACCAAATGGTTATTTCCTTGCTTTTCATTTGTATTTTGCTCCCAGTGGTGCAAGACTCTGCAGTTAGTATAAAACATAATTTATAGATAAATCACATTATAATAGGGTGCAATATCTCAAAAAATGTACATACTGCATGAACTTTTTAATGAACTAATTCAAAGAAATGTATAAGCTGGCCAAGACTAAATTTATGCTGTTAATTCACAGAGGAGTTTCCATGATCACCATAGAGATGTCCTGGAGCAGCTGCCAAGTAGTGAAAGTGGAGGCAGCAATAAACCTTGTCTAGGATAAATCCTGTGTTAGTAATGGAATTACAGTAGAGAGATGCCGTAGCATTAGGGATCTGGGACAGGTGACTGCAGAGGGTCCTTCTACCAAAGGCACCTAATTTACACCCACTGGCTGAATAAACAACACAAGAGTTTAATGCCTTCCCAACATATGCAGTTGTGAACAGTGTTTCATTTTTACGTGACTATATGGTTCTTCTGAGGTCTAGGGAGCATTTGTTCATGAACGGCATCCAGTGAGTAACACTGAATGGATCTGATGAGTGAATGATGATCTACATCCATGAGACTTCTTTCTATTGTGTTAATAGATTCCTTATGCCCGCAAACCTCTTCTGAGCAATTTAGCCTTTTCTTATAAATGACATAGAAGAATCCCACCCCCATCCCCTTTTTTTTTTTTTTTAAATAGAGATAGAAAAAAAACATACCCAACAGCAACAAAACCTCATGATTCATTTGTTTTAAGTTAAGGAAACCTTTTGGAAATAGGATGTTCTCTCACGTATTCAGTGAATCAACTGATAATGCCTCAATAAAAACTGTAGAAACATCTATTGAAAAGCTAAACATAAGTGTTAAAAGTAACTGACTGTCAGGGAATATAAATTATTAACTCACTGGTGTGTGTATATATTTTTTTTAATAGAAGATACAAAATCCAGAACAGAAACATGGACGATCACACTACTCATCTTTGTTCCCATGTTGATTGCATGACATTTCTCATGTTTTTCCTGTACTTCTCAAATTTCCATTTAGTTGCAAGAAGTTTGTTGTAAGTCAAGAAGCCCAGGATGTGAAGAGTAGTAATTTTAAATATCATAACAAGAAAAACATTTTAAGACATTCTGTATTCTCACAACACTGCAAGAGTTGTGTTCTGAAGCCTTTTATTCTAAAGTTTCAGTTTCTTGGAAAGGCAGAAGAAGGAAAGTTTCAGTAAAATATCACTTTACAGAGAATGTTTCTGAAAGTTGAGAACAGAGCAAAATATACATATGAAAAAAATGTATATATTTTTATATATAGACCTATTCATTTTTTTAATATTGACATCCATATAGAAGTTCACATAGCATATTTGCCCAGAGAAGTTGTGGAACCAATTTCTGTGGTTGTCCAGAGAAGTTGTGGATGCCCCATCATTGAAAGTGTTCAAGGTTGGGTTGAATGGGCTTTGAGCAGCCTGATCTAGTGAAAGATGTCCCTGCCCATGGCAGTTGGGTTGGACTAGATGATCTTCAAATGTCCCTTCCAACCCAAAACACTCTATGATTCTACATTGGAAAGTGAAAAGGAAAAGGACATCCTCTCAAAAGAAAATAAATCAGCTTTTGGCATAGTGAATTATGTCCATGCTAAACCAAATGAGGGAGACATGAAACATGGAAAGTAGCAGTTCATGTCACTGCAGACAGAATAAGTATCTGCATGAAACCACCATGGTTTTTGGCACAGAAACTGTTGCTCTTGCTGTTTCTGGGGGCTATGGTTCTGATTCTTCCCTGCAAGCTTGTTATGGCTTGTGATGCTGAGAGTGGGGATAGTTGTCTGAGAAACTAGAACATTGATTTTTCTGAATTTGGATAATGCTTTGGTTTGATAATTAGCAGTAGGATCTTTCTAGCTCAAGAAAATGAATTTCTGAGCACTGTGTGGGCTACTGCATCTTGTGCTTACATTTCCACTGCAGATACAGGACTTGGTTCATTGGTAGGTTTTGAAGTCAAAGACAGCATGCACATTTGAGCTAGTATGATTGACTTTGGATTTGGACCTGAATTAGGAATGACTGCTTTTTACTAATCTGGCTCTTCTTATCTCTCAGGTTGTTTACTAATATGAACCAATACAATGGAAGAAAAAGGTATTGTTGGTCTAAAATACTACTGCCACCAAAAATGTGTACATTGAAGGAAATATTTAGGTTTACAATTCTCCCAAGAAAAGTTTTAAGTAGAAGACACGGTTTTCTGAGGGATCACACCTATATCATTTAAACACAAAAAACTATAATTAGAAATAAATATTTAAAGTGATTTGCTAATTATTCCTTGTTGTCTGATATTTTTCTGACTGTACCAGCCTCATTTTATCTCATTGTTTTATTTAAAGAAGTCAAAGATCTCTGCACAGACTGAGAGTAGATATGGTTTGCAAATATGACAAGTTTGTGTTTTTTGCATTTTCGAGTTCTGGTTAGTTCTTAATTTATGAAACCCCACTACAGATGGCCTCTTGCTAAATTTTAAAGTGCTTCCATGCTTCAGAACCAGGCTACCTTTCAGCAAGTCACTTTTGTCAAAGCCTTGGTGTTCCTTCAAGACATTGTCAACATGTCCTATGAGAATGTACAAATGGTGAATACCCTGGTCTGTTCTGTACCATGTATGTGAATCTCTGGAATTTATTTAAATGAAGTGAATAAGAATGTATTTTTTCTGACTAGGAAATAAGTTACAGCAGGTCTATTTCTAGACAGCAGAAGTAAGTGTGCCTTAGATGGTGATTAAGAGTTGTGTTCTTCTTCTTTAACCTGACTAACCTGGAGTGAGAGGTTGGATGTCTTTTGAAAACTTAAACCTGTTTCACCTGAACATGTTTAACTAGTTAATAAGAAACATCAAAAAAGACAAAACCCTGAGGTTAATGATCTTTTTTGTAAAGCCATTCGATGATGTTTAAATTTGTTTTTTGGGTCTGTCTATAACATAAGTTTAATAACCTAGCTCAAATGCAGATTTCTAATTTTCAATTAACATAGGAATAATTTTGTTTGCTAAAATAAAATAAATGAATGAATGAAAAGTCTGAACCATGAAATGTTCTAGGTAGCACTTTTTAAAATTCCAAATTTCAAAAAATCATGTGGCAACTGTATAGCTCAAGCTTTAAGTATTAACTTTTAACCTTTGACCTTACAGATTTTAACCAATGAAATGTCTCTTTAAACTTTAAAGGAAACAATGATAACGAGCGCCTGGCGATTGCTAGACAGCGAATTCCATATCGACTTGGTCGAGTAGTTGATGAATGGCTACTCGACAAAGGTAAAAAACATTGATTAAAACTTCAAATAAAAAAATAATTTGAACATAACCAAGTAGTACTTCATTGTAACACTAATAAACATAAAAAATAAATTTCAGTAAAACTAAATTAAAAACAAATTTAAAAAAGTAAAATATAGAGTAATATTTGCATACCTTGTATAATAATTTCTATACATTTCTAGAAGTACCAGCTGTTTAATAATCTTACCCTGTTAACTTAAGGTTAAAGGGACTGTTAAATATAATCCACTAACTCAATCTATGAAGGTACTCATAGCAAACATTAACCAAAAATTATAAATCATTCATAGATTATATTACATGTTCCAGCATCTAAATTATTAACTAAAAATATATGTAGTTATGATATCTTCATTATGGTCCTGAAAAAAAATTTGTTTAAACTGTAGGTATCTTAAATAGTGGGCAATATGAATTGCCAATCAAAATGAAGTCCCTTTAACGTTTGCAACCTTCTAAGGGGATTTTGGAACAAACACTAATTAAAACAGAACTTAAAGTTGTGTGCATGCTTTTTGTGAGCAGAAACCAATCTGCTAAAGTGACTATTCGATTTACTAAGAGTGGTACTGTTGCTGAGGATTTCTCTGTTTAATGGAAATGTGCCATGATTTCTCCATCGGTATGTGTATCATTTCTGAAGCCGCTTTTACATCTAAAATCTTTTATTTTAATCGATAGCCTTGCTGAAAGCCAATCAGACATCTGTTTTTGAATCTGCCTCTGAGATACTCAGTGTGAACCATGTGTTTCTTTTCAGTGTGGATGTTGAAGGAAAATAAACATTTAAATACAAAAAGGAAACATTTAATTAAAAATGTAAATATTTTATTCACTTATATAGAGATATGACAGATACTGCATAACATATTCTTTAAAATTCACTGGACCTTAGTGACTTGTTGGCATATATATATAAACTCTTTCTGTGTGTATATACATATTTGTATATGTCTATACATACATAAACTCACATGTACATACTTAAAGCTATAGGCCCTATGCTGTATTGCGTGGAAAAAACTTTGAGATGTTGGCAGACTTGAAGAAAAAGTAATCTTAAGGAATTAGAAACCTGGCATTCTTGACACACACCAAAAAGCTTAACACTGCTTTCAGGTAAAAGGGAGAGGGCTATCATTTGTACTACTAAACATATTTGCAAATATATTTGATTGGCCTTTTAGCAAAAAAAAAAAAAAAAAAAAAAAATCCCAAAACATCGTAAATTAAGAAAAATGCAAATGCTCTCAAAATCTATGCATTTCATGGACACCTCATTAAAAAGCAATGAATTATGAGTCAAATCCTTTTCTTATAGTTTATTGCTCTCATTATTCACCCCATGAAAATCTGTTATCACTTGTGTAGAGTATAGTGTTCACAGTCAACATTTTTGCATGTATATAATATTATCTTCACAGGGCGTCAGCTCACAATCTTCAATAGCCAAGCAACCATAAAAATTGGAGGCAAGGAACGTGGCCATCCTTTCCAAGGCCAGCTCTCTGGTCTTTACTACAATGGCTTGAAAGTTCTGAATATGGCAGCAGAAAATGATGCCAACATCGTGATAGAAGGAAATGTGAGACTTGTTGGTGAAGTGCCTTCCTCTATGACAACTGAGTCCACAGCCACAGCAATGCAGTCTGAGATGTCCACATCAGTCATGGAAACAACCACCACTTTGGCCACGAGCACCGCTAGAAGAGGAAAGACCCCAACAAAAGAACCTATTGGTCAGGTTAGTCAGCTTCCTCGCCTTTTGCAAATATTTTCCTGTCTTTGAGTGTGGCTTCCTGTATCACATTCACTCTGCAGATGAAATTGTTCCTGTTGAAGAAATGCATGAATTACAAATAAAAGTTCTGTACAGTACATGGCTCATGGATGCGATGCTGATCAGCATTTAGAGTGACAGTAAGGACTTTGTGCTGTTCTTCTAAATTAGGCAAACTTACCAGCTCAGATTTTTCTTCTGTCCTGTCATCTATCTTCATAGTGGTGCATATTTTTAAATACTCTTTCTTCCTTTGATGACTTATAAAGATTATTTTCAGTGTCGGAATGCAGGTTGTGCGGAATTGGAGATAATGAAATGAAGCGGTGACTTTACCCGTGAGACAGAGAACAGAGACACAGTTTGAAGAGGGAACAGGAAGGAGGTGTGAAGACAAAAAGTTGGAAAAGGCTGGAAAAGAAGGAAGTAGTAGTTTCTCTAGTCCCACGATTGATCATCATCTTGGGCAGAATTCCTCATAAGAGGCAATGGCAGCAGAGGGAATTTAGAGCGCTCTGCACCCTGGCAGACTCAGGCTCCGAGTCAGAGGCTGTTGTTTACTGTTTGTTGAGGTTATTTGCATCTCATGAATTTAGTGATATATTTAGCAGCTTTCAGGTTTTGTCAGGATCTCTGTATAATATGTGGGGAATTTAATTATCAGGAAAAAGAGGGGGAAAAACATGTGAGTGAATTAAGTACCTTCATCTTGTGGATACCCTGAGTAACAGCATTCAGGGTTCATGCTTTAAAAATCTAAAACTGACCAAGACATTTCTGTGGCAGAGAAGATTCTTTTATATTTATTCTGCCGAGTGCAAAAAAAAAAAAAAAAAAAAAAAAAAGTACTCTGCTAAAAGCTTTCCCTATGTTCACTTGGTTCATATGGTTGCTTGTGCACCCACTGTGCCTTCAAGCCATGATAGCTGCACTCTGAGATCCAGAAGTAGGACAAGGAGCAAAGAAAGTGTCATGAGCAGTAGGGAGGAACCGGAGCACGACGTGATGAATGAAGTTAATTTTCTCAAGAATGGAGGAGAACATGCTGATTAGACTGGGAGGATGAGGTCAAGTTGCCTGGTTTTGGTGTAAAACCTCAACTCACAGCTGGAATTTGATCGGGGCATCAAACTCAACACTTCAGCTTTTCTGTCTGTAGTATTTTGGTACACTTTATACTGCAGATTGAAAATTACAGTGATGTAAAAGTAAAAAAAGTAAAAAAAGTAAAAAAGTAAAAATTGTTATTTTGTATAAGGAAGCAGAACACTCCAGTTAAAAGTGAGCTTTTAAAAAAACATTTTGATTTTTCAAATAAACACAGGTTTTATGCATTTTCCTTGTTTATTTAAAGTGCATGAGAATCCAAAGGAGGGGGGGGTGGGAAAGGGGCAATAAAACCCAACTAGAGATACATGGAACCAGCTGCCTCCAAAAAATAGCATCCATTAAAGACCATAGGTTGCAGTTCTTTTAATTATTGTTGTAGTAAATGACAGTGTTTTTATGAAATAGGCAATAAATTTTCTTTGTTATTACTTCTGTTTTAAATAGTATCTCCCACTTTATTATCCAGCTAGTCTGATCTCAGTATTTTGCAGCAATGAAATGAATCAAATTTGCATAGAGGAAGATCTGCATCTAAAAGTGCAGGACATCCTCACAGCATGAAAGAATTTGGGCTAAATTAATGCTACTAAATTAAAATTAAACTAAGTTAAACTGTTCTAATAGTTCCCAGCATGCTTTTGGCCTCTGCCACACTCTCAGGTAACTCCCAGCCACAATTTTGAAGGAAGAACAACTCAGGGAGCATTCCCAGTTGGCACCTTGCCTGATTTGTGAGTGATGGGAATTTGCTGGTATAGTTGCTTTGCCAGTTTGCCTCAGCTTCCAGGGATATTCCCCAATATGATTTACTCACTTGTTTGGGTGTCTAGCCACTAAGATTTTTCTTTTTGAGGTGTTCCAATGGCATATCTGGGGAAGAAAAAAGTTTCTTAAGCTAACGACCATGGTGAGATATAATTTTTTCTGAAGAGGGGAAAGAGACAATTAGGCAAAATGATCTTCCATGGATCTGTTTCTAGACTGTGGTGCCTGAAATAAGCTGTGGCCCTCACTGACTTTATGAGAGCATCAACACAATTTATTTAGAGCACCTGGCTGCCACTGGCACAGAGTGACCTCAATGCAACCATGCCATTCCCTCATCCCCTCCTGGCTGAGCTGGCTATACCACAATGCTGTCAGCACCTGCTCTTTGATGTCCCACCATCACGAGCCGCAGGCAGGCTCCAGGAGCATCCAGAGGTGCACAGCATCTCGCCAAAGCACGGTCTGAGGGTGAAGGTTTAGATCAACCTCTCTCACCTATTAGCCTTGCTGATGTGAGTCCTTGATGCAGCCCATTTAAAACAACTTGGCAGGAGTATTTCTGTATCTAAGAGCCTGAAATCAGCATTTCTGAGGAAAGCGTTCAGTGTTAATGCCATTACAGCACATGACATCCTGAGCCTATAACTGAGCCCTTCTTGCCATTAATAATACACAGTGGTTTACTTCAGCTATGTCTAAACATCTTGCCTGGTAGGATCTGTGTTGTCATTGCGACTATACACTTCATTAGTCAGGGACGGCACTGGAACGCTGTTTGCAATCAGGCCTGTGATTTGATTTGAAGAGATTGATAACATCCCAGAGTCAAAACTGAAATTTGTCTGCAGGATGCTATGTTATTCATGCAACACACTCAGACCTAGGAAACTACTAAATCAAATTAAGGACATAATTTCTTCTCTTCATTAATACCTGTTTTCTTATTCTACCTGCATGTAATAATTTTTGTGCTAGTGACCCATAGGACTCCCATGGGTCTATCCTGCAGGATGCTGAGTAATCACTTTCCATCTTGATGCCACTGGGAGATGAAGGCACTCACCATCTCATGGAAAATCTACTTTTAATTTCTACATTCCCTTTAATTTTTTTGCTTTACATTTTTTCTGATTTTTATTTATATATAACCTCTGCAGGAGTGCCAACTACATTGACATACTGTAATGCATAATAAGGAAAGTTACCTTTCTAGCATTAATTAGGTTACTGAAGAAAATATGCAGCTGAACAGCAATGCTAATGAGAAAACCTTACATTATTGCAAACCAGTGCGTGTCTGAAATAGAATAGAAGCAAATGATCTAATCAGTTAGAGATTGTTTGCTCCATTTGCAGAGGTATTGAATTCAATTAAAGATTACAATTCTTAAAGAAGATCATTTAAATCTCTATTTATAGGAAATGTTCTTTTAAAAAAATCCATAATGTTAGTGCTTAAATTGATGGAGTGTGTGCTTCCTAGCAGATACCTAACTAATGCAATATATGATACAAGATAGACATGATACTTCCAGAAAGTATGTTGAATACTTGCATGATTTTAGACAAATGAGGTCTTAGCACTTCTGAAAAAAAATATTCTTTTTGTTAGTGACTCTGCTCTAAATGAAGGTTTTCCCTACTTGGAGGCTGTGTCATATTTTAACAATGGATGTTTTGGTGATGACAGACATGTTAATTATTATACTTGTAAATGTAGATTTCTCAAAGGGGAGAAAGGTACTCAAAGCCTATTGAATGTCAATGGTAGGTGAACGCCTCATTTTCCTTAGCGCCTTAAAAATCTCACCCACCCCCCTTTGATTATAATGGCTTCTAGAGCTGTCAGCCTTCGTGCAAGGCACTGCATAAACACATAGGAAGTGACAGCCCCTGCCTCAAACAGCTTACAGAATAAACAAAAGGTATCAGGTAAGGAGGGGAAAAAAAAAAAAGGAAATTAGGAGGTGGGAGGAAGAGGGAAATAAAGCCTTGCACTGTTTCAGTGTTAACAAGCAATGTGCAGATTTGCAGCCATCGTGGGAGGGATAGTTTACTGCCTGGTTTTTGATCCAGGCTCTTCAGATAGCAGCCCCCGAGCTACAGCTGTCCTGTAGGATCACCGCATAGCTTACAGTGGACTCTGAAGCAAGCAATTTAAGGACTGGGCTGCCCAGTTTGTCCCAGCTGGGCAGCTGGTGCAAAATCAGCACTGTTGGGTGGTCGATTAGAGGTTTTCTCTACTTTGCTCCTCACTTTGCCATTGACACTTGGGGGACCCCATGGCTACTGGCACGGGAGGTGAGGATTGTGGGAGAGGTCCTTCACTCCCCTCACACTGGACAGGAGGAGGCTCAAAATTTTACATACCTTTATGAGCATGAAAAGAAATCCCCAACCTTAGCTGTTACAAGAACAGGACTTCTGTTAAGTGAAAATATGCAGCTATGTGTGGCTAACTTTTGGTGAGCCGTAAGTATGCACTGGGGCTCAGAAATCATTGATTTGGTCTAAGAATATCATCCTCTCTGAAGTTATTCAGCAAAATGATGCAGTTAAGGTCTTTATTCTTTTTCTCTTTTATTTTTGACCCTTTTTAAAAGTCTCTTTTGCAAGTTTTTCTATTCAATCATGAAGGCAATAAACTTCTCTTAAAACTGAAAATAAAGGAGATTCACATGTTGTATAACTCCAGGAGCTGGAATGTTAAGCAAAACATCAAGTACTGCAAGGCTTGCAATAAAAATTGCAAGAGTTGGCAGAAGTGGAAAGGCTTCAAAAGGACTTTGAGTATGGGTTTTGCTTGAATTAGGATAGCACAATCAGGCCTTTAGTATCTCTTTGGCATGGCTTTGTGGATCTGTATTAACTGGAAATCATAAATGAAGTGATAGTAAATCAAGAATAATACGCTCATTTCTCATCTGTTTCTAAGGATTTGATTATGACAGCCCATCCACAGAGCAGCCTCTGCTCTCGTGTTGTAAACCGTTTCTGAAAGTTGTGTGCAAAATAGCTTTTTTTTATTTTTCATAAGGGATTCTGGCAGTCCTCTTTGTTCTCATCAGAGTGGGCTCTTATCAATA